CTGGCACTACTGCAATACCTATTACTATTCCCACAGTCATTACTTCTGAAAAAATGTATTTTTTTTCAACGACCATAAAAAAGCGACATTTTTATTTCAGAGATATTTTTTCATATTAAAAAAATCTGTGCAATTAATTTTTTATTAAATTTCACCTGGCAATATAACCACTTACCGCAATGAAGGACTCTTAATAAATAAATTTAAAAAAATGTTTAAATATATTTTTAGCTCGTTACAAAATCCCATGTGTTGAACGTGCCAGAGGAATGACGTTTTGGGATCTAAAACCGCAAATAATTGTTTAAAAAGTTTTTAGTTTGAACATTTTTTTGTAAAATATGGGTTAATAATATATACTTAAAAAAAAAACCATAAAATTACAGTCGATATATGAGAAAAAGTTCATTTCATGCAGAATGAGTCTTTTGGAAGAACTACCCATATAAATGAAAATGATAAAACCACCGTCAGATAAATTCTGAAATTGAGGGTTATGATTTATAATGCACCGAAGTGTTTATTCGAAAGTGATTTTATCACTTTCAGTTTAATAACTATTGTAGACCTGTAACTTCCTCGTCCCCACTATACTCCGGCCTCACTTATAATAGAAAAACGTTGATTTATTAGTGTTTTTTGTTGTATAATATTTTATTTGTGTAATACTGTGTCTAATAAGTGTCTAGTACGTGCTCTTCTTACTTCTTATTTGAATATTTGTTATTAATTATTGCGATAGTGTATTTATAATAGTAATTAAGTTGTACAAAACTCAAGTATTTTTTAAAGGAAATTCTTTTGTATTTTTATAAAAAAAATCATCTGGAAAAAAACACAAGCCTTTTTTTATTTAAGGTTAGCCAGCCTGGTTTACACGTAATAGAAATTCTGAGCTTGCACATGTGTTCATCATGTAGCATTTTTGCTATTTGACAAAATATTTGAGTGACAATTTTTTAAAACTATTTAATTTAAGTACATAAAATAATAATATAGTATATACTGATTGTGTAGTGTACAGGTTTTTTTTTGTAAAATCGAGTATTGTCTAACAATATATTTTTAACAGTCTATTACACAATTTAAATATTAAAAATATTAACTATATAATTAGTTATATGAAATATACATTGCTAGTAGTCATTTGAGATGAATAATATACCAAGTTATTCGTAGTTATGGAACTTAAAGGGATAAAAGAATACAATAAAATGCAATGAAAGTTATTAAAAACATTCTATATGTTTGAAAAGCATAAAATCTATTGTTTTTGAAATGTTTAAACACTTTTCATGAAATACAATTTTTTTTTAATGTGAGAAAGTGGTTAGACTTTTACCTCTATGTTTGCGACTACTCGTCATCTTGTCATTACATTAGTCTCATCTGACGCCGGATCGTATGCAAACCCAAAAGATCCGTACGTTGTATCTATGAAACGATTTATGAATTCTTTGAATACATCTCGGCGATTTATTCTAGAATTTTCTGAGATGGTTCTTCTGGACAGCGGTGGATTCGTCCAGCAATTTTTACCGAAAAATTCGAACAAGGGACCAAACTTTTTTGTCAGCAACTCCGTTTTCCATGTTTTCAATCGCATCGATACAGCTGTTTTTGCAATCCAGTTTTCGGGCAGAACAACGGTATCGTAATAATTCTTAAGTTCTCCTAAGATTTCGTAAACACCTTTTTTGTACTCAATTTTTGAGGACAAGCTATAGAAATATAAAAGTGCCCCTTGCATGTGCAGCACCATCGGATCAATCTCCTTTACAATAATCCAAAATTGTCTCCAACATTCCAATGAAGCGGATACGCCATCTGTTTTATCGCACTCATTCGCTATACCTGTCAAATGATTGCAACAAGTCTTCATCTCGATAACATACTCACAGCTTAACATTAGGTGGACATGAGGAAGTTTTTCACCTACGTTTTTTTGGTTTAATATCGTTCCGTCCGGACTCTTTTTGAGCACTTCCGATGTATATAACCGACGGTTGTTACCAATTATTTCATCTGTGTCCATCTCTGACCAACCCGAAAACGATAAAAGATGATTAATTTGGTAAATGTGCGGCACCATGTCTGAGTCATAAACTATTCCGGTAGTGCTCAATTGCGAATTGTATTTAAAACCTAACAACTCATAATGCGCTTTTATGCAATCGTCTACAATTCTTCTGACTTCTGTTTTCCAAAAGTGCTGTTCGGAGGTAGGACGGTTCGAATTTTTGCCGCTTTCAACATTTTTCCTCGCTGTTGAAACGCCGTTATCTTCCGGGATAGGCCGGCAATAACTATTATAAAATGCGCTCAAGAGTTCTACAGTGTTCAACATGTGTCGTTCGATGGCGTGGCTTTGGGCAGCAACGGCCACAGAACCAGTTTCCGACGTCGATGCTTCATATTGTTTGGCGTTGTAATAATATGTAAAGTCTTCCAGTATTTTCGATACATCTTCGTTGTGCACAACATTGGGGGATAGTTCGTATAGGAACGAAAGAGCCCCTCGCATACGCGGCACTAATCGATTATTGTGCTCGATCAGTTCCCCCAAAGCGTTTATGAAGTACTCCAAAGATTTGGAACTATCTATTCTTCTGCACTGATACGCTATACCTCTTTCGTATTCACAGTACTTTTTCATGAAGTCGGCATATTTACAGCTCAAAAACCGATGAGCCATTTTGACCTTACAATCAACGTTTTCGTCGGTCACTATCTGTCCATTTGGACTAAGTTCAAGTAACTGGCGCATTTCAAACCACTGTTCAGTATTCGTCCACCGGTCTAGAACTCGAATGGCATCACAGTGGTTCGAGTTAAACGCGGGCCAACCGGGATACGAAAGCAGCTCGTTCATCGGGCCAACGGAGTCTGCGTCTGCTGAGTCCAATAGCATTACACTCGAGTAAAATATTATAAGACACAGGCAAAGGCGTGCCATTTTTTTTTTTACTTTTCACAAAACTTAAAAAATCACAAACAAGTTCTTGTCTACAACGCAGTAAAGAAAGTATTACACCGTTAAGATTATTTTAAACGCTCGAGGCGAAATAGTGTTTGACTAACGGCCAGAATAGTATCAACTGCTGGGTTTACTTAACAAAACAAACGTTGCGTTGTACGACATCGGATGGTAACGCACAATAGAAATTGGATTTTGCCAAGCCGTTTCGCTGTGTTTGAAGTACATTCATTTCAAGGTTATTCAAAATATTGATTTTCGTTCGTTCTTTTGTTATGTTGGATAAATATTATTTTTTTTTTTCTAAAATAAATGCGAATTCATTAATTTTGTGATTTGTATTTCTAGAAAGGAAAAACACGAAACCGATTAATTATTAACCAAAACAATTTTAATATATAATTGTTTTTATACTAAGTTATTAAATGTACAAAATTATTTCATTTTACCGTGAAATATAATCTGCATAAATGAACAGACAAAAATAAAAGCTACGATCAAAATTCCTAACATCCTAACATAACCAAACTAGCACTGGCGGTGATAAATATAAAAACATATAAAAACTACGTTTTTATAACGTCGGGCGCATCTTTCTACCAAGATATTAAAACCTAAGCTTTCATGCTCCTTTAAACATAATGCTGTACTCTCTCTAACGGACCGAATCAGAATGTTACAGCATGACTCTTAATTGGGAATTAAACTTAATAGACTTCCGGGCAACTAGCGGTAATTTTAAAAGCAATTTGAAAAGATATAATTGCTATCCTCTCAAAAGTTTGTTTTAGGTAGATAGCTTCAATTTTGTTGACTAAGAAAGTTATCAACGAAAAAAGAATTATTATTATCTATTATTTAATTATGTTTTTAAAATTATTTTACTGTTCATAAAAAGAATATTATTATTATTATCTATTAATTATTATCTATTGAAACGTGTTAAATAGTAAAGATGCGCCCCGCGTTTTTCGAGTTCACCTGTAAGAATGTATGTGTTGATGATGTGTGTTTGTCCTCTTGGGTAATCAAGAACCCCGGAGGGTTATTTTATTCTTTCTAAGGCGCATAAAACCGTGTTTTTTTAGATTTTTTAATCTAGCTTTTGCATTTTCCTTAATAAAATAAGTTAAGAAACTCTTCCATAATCCCTCTGTTATTCTCCATCATACTCCTCCGCCCTCCATAATTGTCCATAATCCCCTCGTACCTCAGAACTCCTCTATAATCTTCCATAATCCCCTCGTACTAAACCAAATCTCAAGTCATACCGATCCAAACCTAAACCAAGCCATAACTAAACCTAAACCAAACCTAAGTTTGGACAATGTTAAAAATCACTTTAAAAATTGTAATTTTAAAATTTTTAATTTAAATAGTCTGAATTATAATATGTTCTGGCCAAATAAACAATAATCTTGTTGCTTAGTTATTGCGCTACTTTAGTGTCGTTTTCGGGCTAGGGGACTAAGGCTAAAGTATGTTCCATGCTAAAAAAAAGGAAACTTCTTAGATATCGAGTGATTTACGGTTTTGTAGACTGCCATTTCATACCTTCAAACCTACTAAGTGGCCCCCAAATTTTATTTTATTTTTTCGCTATTAAGGAGTGAGTTGCAAATTTTTTCAAATTGGTTGCAATTAGTTGCAAATAGGCTGCTGAATATTAGCAAAAATCCGGAGTTGATCAGACAAAGTGGGGGGGGAGGGCAACTTCACGTACGTCAGGGGGCTCCGTGAATTTGGTCCCCCAAAACAGTAGGTATATTGGTTATAAAGCCGAAAAAAATGACAAAATTTTGACACCAGTTTGGAGTCGATGCGTTTAACTCGGGGGGCTCTGTGAATTTGGCTCCCTAAAAAATAATTTTGGAAAAACATGTAGGAAAAATTATTTAAAAATTCTGAAAACAAATTTACAATTAATTACAATTAATTTACAAAAGTTTGACACTAATTTGGAATTGATAGGATAATGTAGGGGGCCAACTTCATGTACATATATAGGTGTAATGCGATGATGCCCATTTTGGTATATTATTTATTTTGGTATAACTTTTATTATGTATTTTATAAAATCATTTAATGAAAAAAAAAAACAATTATTATTACACATAATAAAGTTATAACATATTAAACACGGAACAATTAAAAACATCTATTAAATGGTTACTATTTGTGTGTATAAAATCAAAATCCTCTACCAAATCCGCGTGTACATCAAGACTAATGTAATGTAAAGGTAATATTGTACTGGTGTTGCTGCAACGTCAATGTCATCGTGTCTATGCTAATATGTTAAATAAAATACTTTAGTTTGATAGCTTTTTTTTTTTTTTTTTTTTTTTTTTTTTTTTTTTATTATTTTTTAAAAACATTTACAATCTGTACATAAATATTATACAATAAGCAAATATGTTAACAAAGTAAATATGTAACTTGGAGACTTTGGGTAGGGAACCTATCCAGTGATAGGACCCTATGACATGTTACGGCTAGAAATTAAACGGTAGCATTACAAGTTAGGAGGTCCCGACACCAACGTCTTTTAAGACGACGAGGGGGGTTGTCCGGGATAGTAGCTGTGTGCTGGCTTGCTATTAAAGGATTTGAGTGGAGCAGTAATCTAGAGTGGAATTTTTTATAATGAGTCTTAACTAAATTTTCAACTGATTCGATGTGTAAGTCATTGTGAAGGGTGAGGTTGGAAACATACCATGGAGCGGACGTGATTGTACGGAGGGAAATCGATTGGAAAGCTTCTATTCTTTTTAGTTGGGATGGTTTGGCACAACCCCATATTTGAGCTCCGTATGACCAAATTGGTCTTAACATTGACTTATAAATAAGAATTTTGTTATGAAGCGGGAGTTTGGATTTCAGTATAGGACGTAGTAAGTGCGAGCGAGTATTTAGAGACTTCCTTTTTGATTTTAGGTGGGGGCCCCAGGTTAGTCTTTTATCTAAAATAATACCTAAATATTTGACTTGAGACAAGGAAGGGATAGGAACTTCTTGGAGGGTGAGAATAGGCGTATTTTTTTTATTGAGTGTGAAAGAAACATGTACAGAGTTTGATAGCTACGATGAACAAATAAACGTAACTCGGCCCGTATCCACGTCTTCGCGGAAACCCATATTGAACAAATGAACGCTTACTTCTTTCAAGTAGTATTCCATGTTGTGGGCATAGTAATCGTACCTGTTGGCTAGGGGAAATCGCGTTTGATGTTCGTTCGTTGATTCGTCGATGTTCAACGGCGGGTGCTCCGGTCGGCAGCCAGAAGACAAGAACGTCTCCAAGTTAGCGATAAGTGTTTCCACCAGCTGGAAGTAATTGAGGCCGTCCGGCAGCACGACAGTGCATTCCGCGACGCTATGTTGGCCGAGGAAATTTCTGATCGTCGACAAATGTGCGTAAAACCCATCCAAGTCGGTATCGTAACCGATAGTGGCATAGATGTACGCCAACGAGCGCATCACGTACAAAACAGTATCGGAACATTTCCGCAGACATTGCCCGAGTGTGTTCCAACAATGGCCGGTGCTGTCATGATGGTGTTGCGACAAACGCGTACACTCGTCAATAACGCGGATGGCCAGCGACAGAAACCAATGCAGTTTTGCCCCGTACATGCATCCCATTATCCGAGGCATCAAGCGCAGCTTCTTCCACGGTCCGGGTCTACACGCCGGGTTGGACAAACGACTTACGACCTCCCATTCTTCGCCGTCGTACACCGAGCTAAACCACAAATCGCGCCAATGCTCTTTTTGATAAACACCGACGATCAGCTGTAATTGGTGCCGTGTCAGCGGCACAGACGTCGCCGGTGGCATGGCCCTTGCCCTCGGTCCATTGTGTACAGTCACAATTATTGAAATTGCAAATATTAAATGGCCGTACATTGTGTTGACGGTTACTACGATTAAAGATGTACAATTTCAACGAGAATCGTACTACTCTGCGTGTGATCTGTACCGAAATGTGTCAATGTATATTTGTAACGTGCAACGCAAACAATTGTTTACTAAATGTCTAGACATAAGAATAAATACGATTTTTTTTTCTTGATTCTTTTTTAAAAATATTTTTTATAAATTGTCTTGATCCTAAGATTCCATTGGTATATGTTGACAAATCGACTGCAGATTAAAAAAATAATAATAAAAAAACAAAAGCCAGCACAGTGGGGTTGGGGCATGGTGGGGGAAAATCATACACCTACTACCCATAAATACTATGCAAGCTGTTAAAAATGTATATTACAACATATTATTTATGGGATATATCATGGCATAATTAATTCGATTGTGTATAATAATGAACAATACAATAACACTTTATTTTTTAATTTGGTTATAAACGAAACATAATTTTTTTGAATTAATATTTTCGTTGAACATTTTTTTAAATCTTTTTCTATAATTAACACATTATTTTCAAATAATGATATAAGTCATCCTCTTTTGTTTTTATAAAATAAGTCGGGGATAATAATAATTTGATATCTTAAATTTATTCATGAATAGTGAAATTCAAATTGAATTTCTTGTTTAAATATAAAAAAATAATAATACAAAATTCTATAAACAAGACTACGAACACAATACTAACGTACTTGTATATATAATTGTTAGAGGAAATTTGGTTTTGGTAAATTAGTGGTAATAAGTCCATTACCATTTTGACTATTATAGCGTAAATATTAACTATATTGCGATAATGGAAATTGAAACTCCAATAAAGATTTTATTGGACGATATTTTCGTCGTATATTTAACAATATATTCTTAAAGCTCAGCTCGTGTAGATTTAAGGTCTGTTATATTACCACACATTGGCGTACAGTTTCCGTAATAGTATTTATAAATTTTAATTAAATTTTTTAAAATTATTTATAAAAAAATTAAAATCATAATTTAGCCATCTTCATATATATATATATATTATTTATATACCTTATATACTATAGACACAATTACTTCTGCTTTATTTAAGTCCCAAAAAATCATAATTGGATACAACCATTTTATTAACATTAACAGTATTAAAATAATTTTTTAAAAAAATACGCTATTAGATTTATTTAAACCGCAAATAAAAAAAAAATGAAATCCTTCAAATATAATATTCGTACAACCGAGTCAAACAATAAAATCATAACAATTGAGCTGAACAACAGAATTAACTCATTTAAATGAGAATGTACTATTCATATTTAAAGAGAACAATTAAATTCAGTATTATAAAAATTTACATTACTTCACAACCCAACTAAATGTGTATCTTTACCAATTGGTAAAGATACTGATAGATATTGGTGGTAATAAGTCGATAGCACTATTATAGCGTAAATATTAGCTATATTGTTATAACGGAAATATAGCGTCATTTACTTTATTTTATAAAAATTAAAACACAATTTTTATGTTAACACATTTTTTCTTCTAATGTATATTTTATGAAATCATTGAAATTATTTAATTCAAAAACTATTAGTTTTATAAACATTCTTATAAGTAAAACATATTTGCATATTTGAAATCATTTTTAGTAAACATATTAATTTGCCACTATTGTTATGTATAAAAAAACATATGCTGCCACATTAATATTATTGTATGATTGAGCTGTTACATGAAATACTGTTTGTAAGCTACAATGGAGCTCTGAAGGTAGTTTGGCCCGAACCCGCATCAAAACGGAAACCCATTTTATTCAAATGAGTGCTTACTTCTTCCATGTAGTATTTCATTATGTATACATTATAAACATAGCGTTTAGCTCCGGGATGTCTTCGTTCAAACTCTAACATTAATTCGACAATATTCAACTGAGGATACGCAGCCGGTTGACAGTAAAAAGTCAGAAATTCGTGTAAGGTAACGAAATATCTTTCAATCAGCCGTACGTAATTCAAGCCATCTGGTAATACGACAGTGCATATCGCGGCGCTATATTCGTTGAGAAAATTTTGGATCCCCGAAATAATTTGGTAAAATACATTTGAACTAATATCGTCACTGGTTGTTGAACTTGTGTACAACAATGAGCGAATCACTATTGACACAGTAGACGAACCTTTTTGGACACCCTGTCTAAGTTGGTCCCAACAATCGTCAGCGTTAGCATTTGGCTGTTGCGACAATTCATTACACTCGCCAATAATGTTAACGGCCAACGAGAGAAACCAATAAAACCTTACTCCGTACATGCATCCCATCATCTGAGGAATCAGGCGCAGCTTCTTCCATTCACTGATTCCATAACGACGATTAAACAAACGGTAAACATCCGTCCAACCTTCTCCGTCTCTGACTAAGGTAATCCACGAATCGCGCCAATGGTCTTGTTGATAAAAACCGACGATCAGTCGCAATTGAGGTTCTGTCAGCGGAACAGGCGGCGCCGGTGGCATGGCCTGTACCCTCGTTCCGTTTGGAATGTTTGTAACGACAAACGCAATTATACAAATTGAAATTATTAGATTTTTGTGCATTATGAATTGTTAAGATTAATAATTTGATTGAAAACGTACTTCTTCTGTAATCTGCACCAAAAACCAGAATGTCGGAACTGGAAAACGTACAATTTTTTACTAACATTATAAACTTAGTAATATAATTTGAGTAATTTATATATTTTTTTTTGACCTAAAAAGAAAATTTCATTACGACTTTTAATTGATTTATCGAATTTTTTTCAAAATCTTGTCATCGAATCGAAGATTTCATTGGACGTTATTGTCGTCGCATATTTAACAATAGATTCTCAAAACCCAGCGTGTGTATACTAATTTAAAAACTACGTCAACAACACGTGTATTAAAAACATTTTGAACAAAATATATAATAAATGAAGGACCAAATGAACAAAATAAATTACAATTTATCAATTAGAATACAGGACATCCATGGGGCTGTAATTTGGATTAGATTACATTGAACAAAATAAATAATAAACAAATAACCAAAATATTGTATAACAACCAAAAATAATTATAATAATAATACAAATCTGATCTGGACTGACTCACAGCTTAACCGGCAACCGACGACACGATAACAAACATCCACGGCAACAACCAATGGTGGATTCGCCTTTTTGCAACAAAAAACGTCAACGTCGAGATGCGGCTTGTCATAAGAGACGATCATTTTATTAACATTAGCAAAAAACGTTCATTAGAAACTGATTTTATCCGTGTAAGCCAGTACAGCGGGGTCCAGGCATAATGGTGATGGAGTGTAATGGGGACAGGGAGGTCATATGTTCACAGGAATTATTGTAACTGAAAATTATTAAACCACTCTCAAACAAATGTTTTCTTGAATCCAATGCGCTAGTGCCCACTACGTCCCGACACCACTGTGCTAACTTTTATTTTTTTAACTTGCATGCACGTGTTACTACTGGCGTGGCGTTTGCATTTTTCATACACGCGATGAGCTTAATGTAATTAAAAATTGTATGTGCCAATAATCTGTGATATTAAGAAGACACTTAGCGTATGTTATATTACTAAAAAAAAATTGTACGTGACGCATTACAAATGTATAGTATGACATTTTAGTTTTTTGTACAGATCACACAGGTAGCACAGTCTAAAGTAGCCAAATTGCAAATCTTAAATCTGGATTATTTACAATGTATAACGTATTAATAATTTCAATTTTAAATGTATTGGTCGTTACAAACGTACAAGATGGGACGAGCGTAAGGGCCATGCCGCCAATGCCGCCAGCGCCGTTGACGAAAATGCAGACCGACCTGATCAAAGGTATTTGTGAAGAACACGAGTGGTCCGAAACGTGGTTTAGCTCAGTCAAAGATGGGGCCAAGTGGGCGGTCGTAAGTCGTTTAACTAATCCGGCATGTAGACCCGGATCGTTGAAGAAGCTGCGCCTGATTCCTCAGATGATGGGATGCTCGTACGGCTTAAAATTCCATTGGTTTCTCTCGTTGGCTGTTATTGTTATTAACGAATGTAGCGAATTGTCGCAACGGCAAAATGTCTATCCCTACGACTGTTGGAACGAATTTAAAGAGGGTATCCAAAAAGGTTCGGATGCCATAGTAGATGTGATGCGCTCGTTGACGTACGTCTATTCCACATCGGTTGACATCGGTATCGAAAATGTATTCTATCAATACATGTTGAGGACACAACGGTTTTTCAGCGAACAATGTGTCGCGGAATATACTGCTGTATTACCCGTTTCTACTTACGTCCAGCTGATTGAAAACCATAAGGCTTTCATGGGAAACTTTTTGACTTCCAACTGTCTACCGTTGTACCAACCGTTGTGTATTAGCGAGTTGATGAATGAGTTCGAAAGACGATACCCCGGAGCTAACCGCTACGATGTTTATGTACACATAATGAAATGTTATATGCAAGAAGTAAGCACAGATCTGTTCCAAATGGGTTTCCGTTATGACGCGGTCACGGGCCAAACTACCTTCATATATCCGTGGTAGCATTCAAACAGTATGTCATCAAACAGCTCTTTCTTACAATCACATTGATGTGGCAGCAATAGTACATTCACTGTGGTATCGACGGATTGAATAATTTATAATGTGTTTATTATATACATAAAAATAGTGACTAATTAATAATATATTCGATTAAAATTCTGTAACTAAATAATTTAATAATGTATGAAAGTTTAAATTTAATAAAAACCTGCTATTACCTATTATATGATCTGTGTTTTAAATTTGATGAAATAAAGCTCATCAACTCTAGGCTTCTATTAAACCAGTATTGTATTCATGTATTATGATTGCATTTATACTGTTAAGGATGAATCATTTTTTCCCCTTGAGTTTTAAGTTATTACAGTAGTGTTAGATTTGTTATCTATACACTATAATATGTACAAAGAAATTCGTTATAATGTCAAATATATATTTTATTCTTATTGTGTACTATCAAAATAATACACAATAAGAATTAAATAAT